GTCCTCAGGGGACGTCTAGGGGCTTTCAGGAGTCCTGGCTGCGGGGCTGCGCCTAAGACGGAGGCGGGGGAGGGGGGCCGGGGGGATGGAGGCGGAGAGACCGCCTACATCTTTTCAGTTCCTATCTTTACACGTGACCCACCCCATACCTCTCTTTTCTCTCTTCACACTCCCGTCCCCACGCCCTCCCCTCCACTTTGAGTTCCCCCAGTACTTGTTCTGATTCCCAAGATGGAGCTCACCTCCCTCCACCCTAGGCCCTTTCCAGTTTCAAGACTTCTTTTCCCTCCAAAACCCATCATACCCCTGTCCATCAGTGACCTCCAATCCCCTGACTTCACCCAAGCCCACTCTCTTTTTGCCCTTAGAATGGACACTGGTCTAGTGCCATTTTGGTCGTTCCACACTCCTGAAAGGGAAATTCTGTGGGGTTTTTTGGTCCAAGGTCCGTGCCCAGTCCTACCCTTCAGCTCCATCTCTCCCCTTGTTTCACATCCTCTGTCTTCTGGGTAAGAAAGTCCTTCTTGGAAGAGAAAGAATTTCTTAGGCTAGGCAACAGAAGAGCTGGAACTATGGGCCACAGAAGCTATGTGAAAACCAAATTCAAAACCCAAAGGTAGGGGGATGGAGGGACAAGGGTAGGGGGATGGCGGTAGAGGGCTAAAGAATAAGGAACATGGTAAGAGGCTCAAAATGTCACCAAAAGTCACAGAAGTAACTGTTTGGAACTCCACACTCCCTGTGCCTGGTAACTTCCAGAACCAGGGCTTTTTGTTTTGGTTTTGGTCTTGGGGGAAGGGAGGAATGGGAGAAAAACCTAACATTTTATTAAGCATTTACTATGAGCCAGACATGTTTCCAGCATTATCTCACTAAAACTTTTCAACTCCCCAAGAAGTGAGACTTCAGGCTTAGAGAGAAAGTATGCAATTCACCTAAAGTATTTAAGTGGTGGGCTAGGATTCAAAATCAGACTAGGCTGACCCTTTTCAGGGTATCATAGAAAAGAAAAGGGAGTGGAGCTATCAGTTGGTGGGGGCCAGGACCAGCAGGCTTTCTGAGAAGAGACAAGAATAGTACTGCACACACCACACACCCACATGTCTATGGAGGGAAAGAGTGAGTCCTCTCACCAACTGAATGCCTTGACCTGTCCCTAAGCACAAGGGGACATGTGAAAGAACCAAAGAGATACAATCAGAGCAAGGGCTTGGTCAGGGCCAGGGCCTGCAGCTCCCCACTCTCTTCTCATCTCACTGTTTCCTCCTCCTAGCTCTCAATGATTAAGGGGTTCCCTGAATTTGGAGTGAGAGAAAGGCAGTCACAGTTGGTGGAAAATTTATGGGATCATTTTAATGGACACACACACACACACTGGCCCCAGTGATATTGTGGGCATCTTAAGGGTGCTGTCCTGCTATATATCCAGTCAGCTGTCTCCTGCAGTAGCTTAATGGACAGCAACACCTTGGAACTGGAGAAGCTCCACACTTTTAGTGGAGTCACTCCTGACACAGCACCTACAATATTAAAGGGGTGCACTAGGAAGTATAAGGATCTTGATATAAAGGAAGCCTGGCTTTTCAGACCAGAACAGAAAGCTTTGACCCAAGAAAAGTAAGAGAAGGGCCATTATGTAGGGTTAAGGGAGCCAGTGGTAGTGTGGGGAAGGCCTGACATAGCAGGTGTAGAAAAAGACTTCCAGAGGCTTCCTGTCCCAGTGCTGTATTTTGGCTGATGTTTTGCAAGCTAAAGAAACCCTAATTTATCTCCAGGGCAGATTAACCTGTTTAGGAGCTGAACAGAGTCGCCTGGAGCTCAAGGTCCAGGAGGGGCGGGGCAGCTTCATGGAGAAAGACACGAGGATTACAAAAACACAGTGGTCTGAGGAAAGAGAGAGTACTCACCATTCTACCGTGGTGAGGGTCCTGGCTGCCTGCTTCTCACTGTAAAGAGACAGACAAACATAAGAGTAAAGAGCACCATTAACATCACCATAGAATCAACAAATGCTACACAGCAACTCCTGAACTTCCCCTCAACCCTCTCATTCACCTCCCTGGCAGAGAATCCAGCCTCTCCACAAGTCACCCTTCCAGACAGAGGCAATGGGAGCTACATGGGGAGAAAGCAACAAGTAATTCTGCAGGGCATGGAATCAGCCATAAAGTTCTGCAACAGGACTCAAGAGTCCTGATTCCCAATCCCAGAAGGAGAAGTAAAACACCCCAAACCCTGGTCTTTGTGAGTGAGCAAAAGAACTGCCAACTCCAAAGAGACAGAGACTCACTTTCTAGCCCTGGTGGGGATATGAATCCACAGGAGTGCTCTGCCAGCCTCTGAGTCTGGGAGTAGCACCCACCTGACTTGTTTACTGGGGGCAGAGTCCAGAGCAGAGGACAAGAGGGAGGGGACCACAAACTGTGATCAGAAGGCAGCAGGTCTGGACATGTGCTGCTCAGTGTACTTGACACCAAGTGGAGTACAGGTTAGCTGGAGGAGACCACACAACAGGGAATCAGGCCACACAGGGGCCGGAGTAAGTACCTGTCAAAGGCCCAAGCAATAGAAATGTCAGGATGGACCTCCTTGGCCCACTTAGGGAGCCAGGCCCAGATTAAACTGACACTTTTCTTCATGCCTGCTATCCGGGCTCAGGGGCAGCTCCGCGGAAGGCTGCAGGGATAAAAGCCTCCATCTGCGGTCCTACCTGCCTCCCTGATCACAGCCCACCCTTCCTCATGGGGGAGCCAGCAAGCGGCAAGCCAGAGGTGCTGCCTCACCGCCCACTGGCACGCAGCCTCAGGGAAACGGAGGGAGGGAGAGATAAGGACCAGGTCTGGGAGGCCTAGGGTTCCCGAACCAAGGGGATCTGGCCGCCGGGGGCGGGCCAGGCTGACAGGAGAGCCCAGGTGCCCAGGTTCTAGGGGCGGGGCCTAAAGACTCGGAGGCGGAGCCCCGAATGACAGAAGGCGGAGCCCACGAAAGCCGGTGAGGCCGGGGCGGAGCCGGGCAAGACGCGGTAGTCGCGGTTCCCAGACTGGCAGTGCACGGGGCACGGTGACTCACCCAGGCGGCGTCCGCCCGACCCTCCGAGGCCGAGCTCTCACCACTTCCGTCTCCTGCAGCTGCTGAGGCCGCGCAGCTCCGACCCCACCGCGGTGCCCCTCTCCCCAACCAATCGTATCTCTGGTCTGTGCCCGCCCTGGCCAATAGCCACACCAAGTCCCGCCCTGCCCCCACCACGCAGCCGCCGCCCTCACTCTTTACGCTGTTCATTGGTCAAGTGGGGCAGACGCCCTCCCAGCCTTTAGCCTATCGGGTGCCGGAAGACGACACTGTACCTGGAGGGAGGAGGCGCGGCGCCAGAGAGGAGACGCGACCAATGGGAAATCACAGCGCGTCCCTGCGGCAGCCAATGGGAGAGCAATAAAAGGGGGACTGCTGGCTAAGGCTCCAGGGGCCGGAAGTGGGGGCGGTCTGTCGCCTGCTGGTAGCGCAATTGAGGGCGGGGCCTTGTAGGGAAACAGGCCTTACCGCCACTTCCGGTGACCACCCCGCCTCGGAGTACTTCTCAAATAGATCCCGGGTGGCACCTCAGTTAATCCACTTCCCGTTAGTTTCGCTGCGGTCATCCCGTCCCAAAGCCAGAAGAGGAGAAAAGACCCTGAAGGCTAAGAGAGGAGGGAGGTCTCGGTCTTCTCTGACTGGCGGGGGCAGGGTTTTCCCTTCTTCCACACCTTGACGAAGGTTTCCTCCTTCACTTTCCATCAGCGAACCGACTCTGCTGTCCTTCATTCCCTGAATGAATGGTGCCGTCAGTTTTGAGTAAAGATCTCTCACCGGAGAGATAGGAAACCTGGATCTGAGACTGCCACTAGCTAGCTGCGACCTCCTGGTCTGTAAAGGGTGTGGGGAATAGGACTCTCCCGAGGATCCAGCTCTTGGCTCCTCCCTTACCGTCTCCCTCGGGGAGCCAGGGCAGGCAGCTGGGTGGAGGGTGGCCGCTGGAGGTCGCCGTGGCCCCGAGATACCACCAACCCGACAGAAACAGAGATTGATTCAGATTCTCAACCGATAGCTTCAGTTCAGGAGTGGGCCTGAACACTTTAATACCAGAACCCGGGGCCAAAATGTCTTCACGTGTCTCTTTTATGAAACACTGGAACTTTTACTACATTTAGTAAATTCCAAGAAAACTGGAACCTTGCTTTAACTCCAAGGTTTAAAAGTGTCTGCAACGTAGCAGATAATGAATGTTTGCTAAATGAATACTGAACTCTTCCAGGATAACGACTGTATGTTATCCATTCTGAGCACTTACTATAGTGTGGCGATTACAGAGGTTTCAAAAAACCTCAGTACCCTATCCCAGGCTTCCTAGAGTGCAGAGCTTAATTCTGCATATCCCTTTCCCCAAATCAGGGGAAACAGGAACTTGAGGTTGCATGCAGTTAACACCATGTTTCCCCAAGGGCAGATATCAGATCCAAAACTTCTATAGAGTTGTCAGTACTGTATGCAGGAAAGATGAGAGAGGCTCAGGTTCTAGGTAGCAGAGGCAGAAGAGTCAGGAAGATGGAGAGGACAGGCTGGATTCTAGGCAGGGACTGAACCCTGTCATGGGAGGGGAAAGATATCCCTCCTCTCCCTTCCCTACTAAAAGCCAGAAACCAGCAACTCCTGCAGTCGCCTTTTGGAACTGGGTCCTAGGATCTTCTTAGTCTCCAGGAGGTGGTAAAGATACAGACAGTGACACCAGAAGCCACCTATAGATTTGTTAAACTTTATTTCCTCTGAGTCTCTGGAGAGGCAGCGGGGATGTAAGGCGAAGTGGCAGTAGCTTCAGGGGCCTGAGCAGAGCTGGTGCTGGGAGGGGCCGGAATGGGCAGGACTAAGAGGAGGTGATTTAAATATCCAGGGCTGAAAGCCAGCTAATGGGTCTCCTTCATCTGTCTTTGGATTTTATGCAGCATCTCCTGCATCCGCCGTAGCTGGAATACGCATACGTATCAAAATGAGGCCTTTCAGAGAGTCTTACAATGTTAGGGAAGTGCCCCACACCCCCGACCTCTGATCCCTTGAGCCAGGGCCTTTGTAGCCCTGAGGTGTGATGGAGTGCCTGGGTAGAACCACTAATCCACAGTCCAAGATCCAGATATGTACCAGGACCAGGTATCTTCCTATTCCCAAACCAAGAGATACTGAGGTTTATGATTAAGCAGGGGACCTCCCAGGCTGGCAACCTCTATCACCCCAGACTGCTCTCACCTCCTCATCTTTCTCTCGGATCAGCCTCTCAGTTTCTGGATCTGTCCCTGGTGGGACAGCAGGGATGGGGAAGTCGGTACCACTCTCTCGAGTCAGTTTGCTGAGGGGAAGGGGAAAGGGGGGTTGGTAAGGCTAGGGGGACCCCAGCACCTGCTTGGATTGAGCCCAGAGCCTGTAGAAGAACAAAGGAAGGGCTTGGTCTCACCCAAGGCTGCGCTTGAGACCCCACCCCTGCCAGCTCTGTCCTGGCCTCCGGCCATACTTGCGATTCCGTTCTTTCACCACCAGGCGAGTCATGCTCTGGATGCACTGTGCCCGGTAGTTCTCATAATGCGTCTCCCGTGTCACATCCTTCAGGTCCTGCATGTGAGTACGCACCAGCATTGTCCTCAGCTTCACAAAGTCGCAGTGCCCTGGGTTTTCCACTGCATAGCAAGGCTAGGGGTCAGCCAGGGACATGGGTAGGGGAGAGCCGCTGAAGACAAGGAGATACCCTGGTCACAAGCTCAGTGCTTTACCTTCCACGATGCCCCAGGGGTAGAGTCGGCCCCGAACTCGCCGCCCTCTGGCCTCTACCACAGTGTTGCTGCCAATGACAGCAAATGGGATGCTTTCCTGGAAGAAGTTAGGGGTGCCTGTCAACATTCCTCATTCTCACCTGTTCCTTTCCACCTATATCTTCATCTTCTCTGCTTCATTCTGGGAAACCAGGATCCTCTTCCACCCCAATAGCCCACCCTTATATAGAATTCTACTTCCCTCTTCTGCCCGGAAGAAACAAGATGGGAAAAGGATGCCCTGGGGTGGCCCCACCTTTAGGGCTTGGTCCTGTAATTTGAAGTCCTCATCCTCATCAGAGTCACAGTCTGGGAACTGGTAGACCTTGATTCCAAAGTGCTCAATCTCCTCCCGGATCTGACAAACACATGAGGGGCCCACAGTTCTGGGGACTCCGTCCTTTCCAGAAGCCCACCTGCTCCCCTCCCCCACCAGCTTCCCTCACTTTGCGTTTCTTGCGCTCCACTTCAGGAGGTGTCAGTGTGTCCGCCTTAGCCAAGATAGGCACGATGTTGACCCGCTGATGCAGGGCCTTCATGAATTCAACATCCAGTGGCCGGAGCCTGGGGAACAGGAATCTGTGACCACCTGCTAGTGGCAGCCCTGCCCCTGGTGCTCTCGGCCTGTTCCCTTGGCAGCACCCGGTGGCGTCAGGAGCCTCAGGCTCGGACCATACCCGTGGCCGAAGGGCGAGATGAAGTACAGGCAGCAGTGCACCCTGTTGTCTTGGATGTTCTTGCGGTTCAGGCCACTCTCATCTCGGAAATACTGCTCAAACTGCTGGTCGATATATTCTGCCACAGGCTTCCAGCTGGGGCAGGGACAGACAAGCAGAGAAACTGTGGGAGTCGGGGCTGTCTAGCGAGCTCCGGGACTCCAGAGGAGCCTACGCCCTGAGCAGTTTTTGCAAGGCTTTGTTATTCCCCGACTTGCTTTACTACAACTTCGGGGAGGTGCCTGGGTGGGACAGGGGTGCATGTCGTACATCCTGATAGAAAACCAGACTAAGCACGCAGGCAGAGGTCAATAAATACTAGTTTGATGAGCGCCTGGCTGATCAAACAGAGCAATAGCACAGTGCTGACAGGTGAACACCAACTGGTGGCCAGGACAGCCCTCAATCAGGCCCACAGTTCAGCCTCAGAGCCTTTGTTAAGGTGGTTGCATCCTCTCCTCCACCTCTTCAGACCCACTCCATCCTTCAAAGCCATATCCAAGAACCACCTCTTCCGCGAAGGCTCCTGTGACTATGCCTCAAATTTCAACTCCTTTGCTCTTCGTTATCTAGTTTAATCCTCACCGATAGGAGCTCTGATAGGTGGCTATTATGGGCGTCAGTGCTCTCATCTGCTACATGAAGAAACTAAATCCAATGCAGCAAAGAGACTTAATCCAGATCATTTTATCTAGCAAATTCTCTACCCACCCAAGCCCGTGGCCTTCAGTTTGCCACTACACTGCCTGACCCATTTACTAAAGTTTTTCCCTGACTGACACACATGCTGCTTCCCCCCACCGTCCCCTCCCACTGCCACTGGGCTGTAAGCCTCTTATGACAAGGACTATTCATCCTTGTTCTGCCTCTCTTAAAATGTCCAGCACAGGCTGGACACCTAGTATGTGCTCAATAAATTCCTGCTGGTTGACTAAATGAGTATATGTGGTGGTGCACTGTAAACTATGAGGTGCCAGGCAAGGGAAATTATTATTATTATGGAAGGTAGGAGGAGATAAGTAGATTTATTGAAGGAGGGAGTGATGCTTGCTGAAGTAGGTGCTGGTTGGAGCTAGAGTTTCAGGGCACGCCCAGTTTGCTGAGACATATTCCTAGATCAGGAAGGGTGATGATGACCTGGAAGGCCACCTCCATCCATCAGCAATATTTCTGCAGACCACGTAACCTGTACTAGCACAGTGCTGTTGTAAGAATGTAAGGAATGGCTCTTCTGTCAAGGCTTGAAAGTTGAAGATGAACCAGTGTGCTGAACCCAAAGCCACATGTTGTGATGATAAAGCATGTGATGGGGGCTCAGAGCACAGAAAAGTCTGTAAGGTTTTGATCAGTCTGTGAGGCAACTATCCAAAGCCAGCTTCCTGGGCATTTGAACTGTGCCGTCATCCAGGGTCCCCACACTCAGAAGGGCCCACGCTTGGTTTATTCTCCTGCTGTGGCCATCTTGAAATTCTTAAAATTTTGAACAAGGGGCCCTACATTTTTATTTTACACTGGTCCTGAGATTACCGTATTAAAATTCAGTGTAACATAAACCGCGTTTGCAGTTTTGTTTGTTTGTTTTGAGTGTGTGGGGGGGTAATTAGGTTAATTTATTTTGGGAGGAGTTACTGGGGACCTCATGCATGCTAAGCCTGCACTCTACCACTTGAGCT